AATATGTATTAAAACAATGAATATATTATAATACAATTAGGCCTATATCTTAATATATATTTTTATCTTTAAAATCTTTAGTTGCACGATTAATTGATTTGTAAAGCACAATTGGGCATGTTTGCATATCACAGGACTCCTTGGACAAGTTTTCGCTTTTATTGGAGGATTCAATTTTTATTTTTAATTATTAAGCTACATTTGACTGATTCTTCATGTAGCTTTCTGGAAATTTAGTTATATAATTTAACAGCAAAGTGCAACATTGCATCTTTTTATAAATCATTGCTGCTTGAAAATCCTTCCTTTTTTTTTTAAATTATCATCGTAATTAAGCCGATTTAAGTACTACCTTAAGGTGTTCGTCCGAAGAAGTACCGAAATTTAGGCCTGTCTAGGCCTAGTAGTAGTAGGTGGATATACCGCGAAGTGGGGCGGGCGGCGGTACATCATGCCTTATAATTTACTACGTGGATAGCGAGATTTTTCGATCGCCGTGCAAAGTTAAAATAAAATCCCAAATCCTCCTCCTTTTTAGAATTTAAGGAAATTAATACATTTTTGTTTCTTTGTTGGATCGATTGCAGCAACCCCAAACCCAACATAACGGTATTTCACATTATAATTATAGCATTAATTATCTCATGGAGGTATTATAGTGAACTATAATACCTCCATGATTATCTATAATAACTGCTAACTTCCTACCCTATCGCGTTGTTTTGTTTTGGTGACAACATGGCCGGTGTAAGTCACGTGATTGAAACCGAGTTGGCCAAACTCTCTCTATCTACGGCTCTGGGAATAGCCAAGCCTACGTCACCGTTTTGTACTGTCTGGCTGGCTGCAGCTTTGTACCGTGTGGCTGAAGTCCGTCTCGCTGCGCAGAGGTCTGCAGCAGGATCTCTATCCAATTTGTAGCATTCAAGATAAAGGTAAAAGGAACACCAAGAACTACAGTGCGCTCGTGCCAAACAATTAATTATAAGCCTGTATATTTTAATTAATATAGTTTAATTAGATAAGCGGATCTACCTGCGGTGATTTACTTTAGCTAAACATATGTGGGCAATATTCAGCATATCAAGCCTACTAGCTAGGCCTAGCCTAGCCTACCCTAGGCCTACTTCGTATTAACTTAGCCTAGGTAGGGCTAGTGAATAGGGCCTAGGCCTAGGCCTAGGCCCTAGGCTTAGGCTAGCCTACCTTGAATTACTTTGAACGTTAGGACTAGGCCTAGAGCATTAAGCTCCTAGCTAGGGTAGGCATCGACATTGGGCTTTTTTATCCAAGCACCGGTTGGGTGTTTTGTTTACACCATGCTTATTATATATGACTCGGTATGCATCAATGACAATGTCTGGGCGTAGGCCTACTTTTACTACTACTACTACTACTACTACTACCTAGTGTAGTGGGGCCTAGCCTAGTACTAGCAAGGCCAACCCTAGCAATCAGAATACTGTGTATTGAATTGAAATATATTTGTATTAGGCCTAGGCCTAGAGTAAGAATGCCAGTCATGTCGCCCCCTTCTAAAGTCGACCCCTGCAAAGTTTCCCTCCTAACCATGTTCAGTGTATTCATTGAATCATTATTCTAAATAACGAACACTCATAAAACATTCAGACTTTCCAACCCATGGAGCTCAAAATTCAGGAGAGTGCAGTGGTAAGTGTGTCCCTCCCCTTCTCTTATCTAATACAGTAACTAAATAGGCCTAGAGGACCCAGCTAGGCTAGCCTATAATATAAAATTCTACTAAAACTAGGCTAGCCCCAGGCCTACTACTACTGTAGTTCTCAGAAACATTGAAAATCAATGAAAAAAAAGAAAAAAATACATTCAAATTTTTAATCGCTGTGGCTAGAGATACGGTACCTTATCCTTATTTCTACTTCTACTTGCCAAAGGTATGGTATGGCATTGTGTCACCAATCACCCAATGAAGTTCTGAAATGTGCTTGACGCCGTCTTTCAAGACCAGCATTAGCATTGCAGATCGCCCACAGTGTGAGGTGAGCGGACGTGTGACTAGCGAACAATGTACTTGATTAGCACGATTAGTCTGGCAAAGAGTACAGTATTTTTCGTATAATACTGTCATCGATAAATAGGTGTAAGGGTTCCACTCAATAGTAAGGTCATGTCATTTATCTATAGCCATATCAAGGAAAACATGAATCCTCAGGACGATATAATCCCCAGCCTTGCTAGCCTCTTCGCTTAATAAGGAGTTGACTACTCAGTCTTTGGTCTAATATGACAACACTTGTACTCAAAAACTGAATGTACTGACATAAATAAGAGGATTCATATATTCCTACTAGCACTATCTATAGTAGTGTCTTAAATGGGCCAGCATCAAAAGGATATTCAAAAAATTTGACACTAATCACGATGGGGAAACTCATTCCCTCGATCTGGATTCTGGCAAAACGATGTTTACGATTGGGTGAAGTACCATAACAGCGACGAAGTGTATATTAGGTTGGGTAGATGTACGGTTGCATGTGCATTCAAAGTGTATGAATATTTTGGTCGGATTGTAAAGCGTGGTAATTCAAGTATATTATAGCCTAGGCTTCTTGGACTAAAACTTGGTATGAGATTTTGAAGGTTGAGATTATTCAGACTTCATTCGACCATAGTGGAATTAGTTTATGACTGATATATGCCACCCATATCGATCTGTCCCTAGAACAGGGCCGCCGCCAAATGATGAATCCAAGCAAGGCCTAGGCCTTGCTTAGATTAGGCCTACAGGCATGTGCCAAGTGTTTGGTACAGGATTCAGTCTTTGTTTGATAATTGCTATATAGATAAATGACATGGCTTACTGAGTGGAACCATACGCCTATTTATCGATGACAGTACTAAGTACCATGTAATTACAGAGTATTGTATTTTGATGTTCTAATTACCCAGTACATCGTTGGTGGTCTGCATTGTGCAATGCAATGCCAGTCTTAAAAATGGCGTAACGCACATTCTGGCACCTTCATTGGGTGATGGTGACGTAATGTCATTTACCGTACCTTAATAGCAAATTGAAGTAGAAATACAGTACCGTATCTCTAGCCAGGCGATTTTTATTCTGAGAGTGCCATTTCCAGGTCGATAGTCATAAATTTCATATTTCCTCCATTCCTTTCCCCCTTTTCTTATTTCAAATTCCTGGATCTACCACTGATGACAATTCTGCTTTAATTTCTTTTTTTTTTTCAGGAAAGATTAAGATTTTCCAGATAGAAAATGGAAAATAGACGATTAGTACAAGAGTGGCTTACAGAATATAAGGTAGCAGAAAAAGCCTGAGTTGTGTATTTTTTAAGGAATTTAGCTTTCATAAAATAACACCATTCTAAATTTTTCACATTTGTAGTAAATCAAAGTATGTCTTCATTATTTCACCTTTTGAAATGTGCAACAAGACTTTCTGATTTCTATGATTTTAACACAGACACCATCTGTAGTTGAATTTTAGAAATATAATTAGTTGTACTCTATTGGCCTATTGACTGCACCTTGCTAGTCATATCATAGATGTTTGCAAGATGACAGTTTATCATGCTGTTCCCTTGAGCCAATTGTGTATACCGTCTGTTGTTAGTGTTAACATCTACAGTCTTTTTGTTACATGGTCAGTTTTGTGGGTTTAGGAGTAGGAGGTTTCAGGGCATATTTTGTCTCATTAAAGAAATGAGAAAAAAAAAATTCTGTCTGTTGATAAGACAGTTGTTACACCAGGGAGCTGGTTACACACTGACAAATAAAACATGATGTATAAAAACAATACTGTACTTCTATAGAGGCATTATTGAATGTAGCCATCAGTTTCCCATTCTCCTACCTAAGAGTTACGTTACAATTTAGTATCATTATTACCATTTTTTCACAGTCGCTGTCTTCAGGTGCTATTCCTCAGTATGCTAGTAAACTGATAAAAAATGAGCAAGTAGTTGAAGCGCTTTTGACAGTTCTTGAAGACCAATCTTGTGAGGTAATTATCACCAAATGAGAATGTGACAACTTCAGAAAAGAGTGAGAATAACCGTAAATATTTTAAACTGGACATTTGCAGCTTGGGGACAAAAAATTGTCCCCTGGATAGGGGTTATTTCCTCGGTTTCTTTGCCAAAGGATTGTTCTCTTCATTGGGTGTATCAAAGGAGATTCTACTTATTAAAATTAAAAAATATTAACCATCGTCAAACACCATAGTTTAATTGTAGAGACTAACATTCCATCCCAGTGTGCACTCCCACCTTACAATGGTATAGTCCATTATTGGGTGGTTTTAGACAGGGGTGGCTTTGGACAGGAATTGCTTAAGACCGATTTCCGGTTAAATCAATGGCCATACACACAATGCCACAGCTTGTCCCATGCTTCATTGTGCTGTGGCTTTATTGTCAAAAAGTGGACATACTTCCTATTTATAATATTAATATCTAATATAAGGTTTCTGAAATAGACTGTTGGTTTGAAATGCGCAGGATGATACCCGGGATCATGTACAACCAATAAGTTATTTTTGAAAAAGGTGAGTCTGTGTATTCACTGCAATTACAAAATGCAAGTGAAAAGTCAGATCAGTAGAATACAAAAAAATTATCCATATTGCATTACAAGTTATATATCAAAAGATATTAATAGGAAAAACATATATAATGAGAGAAAACAAATTTGACCATTGTTTACCATTTCTAACTATGGTTTGTCCCCAATTTAACCACTTTATATTCTATATAGTTAACAGAAAAATATACAAAGAAGTAAAATTATGTAGCTCAAAAACTAGCTAGAAAGTTTGAAGTACAGGGCTGTAATGGGCTGTTGAGCTTATGTGCTCTCTGTTTTCTATTTGTGACCGCTACATTAGTTTAGATGGATATTGATTATAATATTATTTTTGGTATTAATTTTTTTAAATTTATATTTTTTTAATGTAATATAGTATATTTTATTTTATTTTAATTGATATTTTATATATAATTTTATTATTTGTGCTAAATACAATAAATAATTTTGTTTGCGTTTTCTATAATTCCAGTTATTTGATCCTGTGTGTAGTCAGTTGTATGAGTTCTATCGCTCTGGAGAGCAAGATCTTAGAAGATTCTGCCTTCAGTTTGTCCCAACTTTGATCTGGCTGTATTTATGGGCTTATTCAACCAACAAGGTAAATAAAACAAGTTCCTGATACGAACATAAAATAATAACAAAGCATATAAAGTGTTTATCCCTTTTTATAATTTTTATCAATGTACAATGTGTTGATATTGACATACTTTCAAATAATTTTCTATTAATTACATCATTTCAAGTAGTTGTATCTCGTGTATACTATGGCAATAACATCATCTTGTAACTATTACTGTTTTACTATTTCAATATTTAAATCATGCAAAAGAAAATTTAACAACTAAAAAAGAATATCATTATGGGCTTGGGTTGATGGGCATACTGTATATCACATATGCAGTCCCATAGTTGATTGTGATAAAGTAATTCTTGTCACAATCGGTGACCAGAGTCGCTTCATCTTCATTGGGGTACTAGGTTATACAGTCACAAACAAAGAGAAACACAGACATATCATGGCAAAGCATGCCTCCAGTGACCTACTATTTTGGGGTCACTGATTGTATCTGTTTCATGTGAATTATGTAAATTCTTTATCAAAATTACTGATTTTTATGTAAATGGCTTGTAAATTTATTCTCTCCAGAATTCTGGTCGTATTGAGACTCTGTTGTTGGGTATTTACAATCTGGTAAGTTTTCAAATTCAACTACATAACTGCTTCTTTTGAGTAGAAAAGAAAGTATTCTATTCAACAATTGGACGAGGCACAAGGAGACCTGTCCCCTCCTTTTTTTATGACGATCAAAATTGCTATTGCTCTTTTTAAAGAATCTATAGATTGCAGTCATACCTCTGTTCCCAACTAAGATCTAGAGTCTACTGTATACCTGCTCAACTGGATTCAATTTTATCATATGATTTGCTTTTAAATACTGTATAATGCTGCTGACACAATTGAAATTGAACAGCAGGTAAAAATGGGATTTTATGCCATTCATGTGTTTGTAGGAAGTTGTTGATAGCTCTGGTGATGCACAAGTCAGCTCATATACAATACCAACCCTGTCAAAGCCATCTATCTACCATGAGGTAAGATTCCTTTGTAAATCCTCTGTTTATGTTGTGGTAAGATTCCCATGTAAGTCTACAGAACCTGTTAAGATTCTCACATAAATCCTCTGTTTACTGTGGTATATCTAGAAGTCGTATAAGTGGGTGGTAATGGGGCTGTCTCTTATACACATCTAGATGTGTATAAGAGACAGGTCGATGATCAGTTGAGGGGCGCAAAATATGGTTATTTTAGCTAATTTTTAACTACTTGACCATGTTTTTTTTGGGGGGGGGGGTGGAGAGACAGGGAGGGGGCCAATTAATTTTTGAAGAAGCGTGCACACTTCTATATACACCACTGTCTGTTTACTATGAGCTTAGATTCCCACTTGTGTTGTTGACTGCCAAATATACTTGTTGCATATGATGTAACTAAAGGCACAATTACAAGTATGCTTATATTTTAAATCAACTATTGTGGTGACCCAGTTGCTGCAGAACACTTAACAGTTTGGGATGATCTATAAAACAATTTTATTTGCATTTCATAAAGTTAGGTTGCACAACAAGGTACCGTAAATCTTATCAAGATTGGTTGTGGAGAAATCATTACAACTTTGTCCATGAAAGTCAATATTTGAAAAGTTCTGTTTATCATAACGATTAGTTTCACATTTATACCTACAAAAACCCTCTGCTTTGAGGTAAAACCAATTTTATTCTCCCTACTTAGAGATTACAATGACACTGAGACTCAGAAGGGCCTTTGCATATGTCAGCTTGTGTACTCAAAACATTACACCACTTTCAAATTTTTTCTTATTTTTTAGCCAATGAATCAGATGGCATTAACAGAAAGTTTGTTGTCGTATCAACGATCGGATCATCGAACGGTAACTCAGGGTCCTTTTCCACAGATTGAAGCCATTGATTCACAAAAGAGGTAAAAAAATAAATTGGAGAAATTCGCTATTTTACAGTACCATCTGTTTACCGTTTATGTGCCAAATATAATTAAATTTATACTTAGCTATACATCCTTACTGTATTTAATATTTATTTCTATATAGAACCTAATATGTATCTGCTTAATAATAAGCTTGTGTATAGCCGGATGAGATATTTATATTGATGGTGAAAAGAGTAATTTTCACTGGACATAATTTTCTACATCTGAAGGGCAGTGATTTTACTGGCTCAGTTTTTACTTATGTTGATTGGACAGTATAATATGGATTGGTTGTGTGACGTACATAAGAAACACAAATTTATTTACATTTTATTTGACAAATTCCAGGGGCAGGATTTATCAAACTATTAGTTAAATTTATCAATATTGTTTAGCTTAAAAATCGCCTAAGATTAAAAAGTCAGTTTTATGCATGCGTCATCTAAGACGATTGTTAAGCTAAGATTTTGCTAGGATGGCTTGATAAATCAGCTTAAGGTACTGTATTTGCTTAGGGATATCTAAACTTTTTTGACTTATGACATTTGCTAAGCTGAAATTGATAAATCCCTGAGCGAATTTTGAAGTCATTTGTTTTTCTATCTCTTCCTTCGTTTGTGACACGATTAGGCCGATCTTGGAATAATATGGAAGATAAGGCCTGGGGAATTTAAAGTATGAAGAGTTTTTGCGAAAATATTGTCGGGAAATATGTGAAAAAGAATGTTTTTATATCATACCTCTTAACACTAAGGTGGGTTTCCTATGCAAGCATGTTCGTCATTGATGAGATTGCAAATCGGCTGTATACATAGTGTTTATCAACCAATCACGGCCTGGAATGGTAAGCTTTGCGGCTAATAAATGCGTCTGCACGAGTCTAGTTGGTAGCGAAGAATGAGCCGTTTTGTGGTGCTTGCAAATGTGGGTGGTCTCTCCTCTGAGAGATAAACAATGTACTGTAATGCAGGCTGGCCTAGAGCTAGAGGAAGACGAACTATAGGCTGGCTGGGTACTACGTGTGTGTAATAGTTCAGATAACAGGAAATGTAGGCTACAAGTTGCTTTTATGTGTATTAAACTACATAATATTCAAATTAGTAGCGATGAGTGTATGTGTGCAGCACATTTCGTGTCAATGTACTGTAATGCAGGCTGGCCGGACGAATAGGCTGGCTGGGTACGTACGTGTGTGTAGGCCTATGCCCTAGTCTAGATCAGATACTACATGAAATAAATGTAGGCTACAAGTTGCTTTTATGTGTATTAAACCACACATTCAAATCAGTCAGTAGCGATGAGTGTATGTACAGCACCTTTCGTGTTGCCGCACTGTGGTGTGGTTGATGACGAGGACGATTCTTTGTTGTGTTGAAGATAATCAATATTGAAAAGGCCCATCCACATTCTTACTCCAATGCAAAGTGACAATACATTTCATTGTGACACATAAACACAATAGATTACCAATGACAGGTCATGATATACACATATATATATATATACATACACATACATATATACATACATATATATATATATATATATATATAATATATTTTCTCAAACAAAGCAGCATGTTTAACTAACAAACGAAGACAAATGATATACGTAATTATAATGCGCCTTTGGAAAAATATATTTCTTCACAATGAAATACTTCTATGCAACAAATTCCATTCACTCACCAAACTGTCTACTTAAATCATAAACCGCTACATATATATCTTCATAATTACAGTACAAAATATTTCAAAAACATACGTTCACAACAACCCCTACAACAACCGTATTTCCTTTAATATCGCTGTACACGACATCACACCTTTTCTAACTGTTATGTGAACATAACAAAAAAAGTCTGTGATACAACTACTATAACTTTAAACGTTTTTTTTATGCTCAATACATGTAACAACACTCCACACAACCTCGACTCACTAACAGCACTTAAATATTGCCAGCTATTGTCAAGTGGGCTATTGCATCATTGATGCTCTTGTTGTATAGCTTCTGCTGCTGTTTCTGTTATTGCTGTTATTACTTATTGTTTTTAATACTATAGTATTATTTGCTTTGTAGGTTGGATGTTTTGAGATTTGTATTAAGTGAGTATAACAGCAGCATTGGACTCATGTATTCCTCATCGCATAAGGCCAGCTGCTTGATGTGCTCACGGTAAGAAACATTAATAATTTATTGCAATCTGATGTTTCAGTATACTTACTGTAGATTTAGTCTCCAGACATGCCAACCACTCCGATTTCGGTGGAGTTACTCCGTTTATTTAAGCAAAACTCGCACTCCAATTTTGGGTCGAAAATCTATGCTTTTTACGCATTTTGGCCAGCTGCAATAAATCGCGTATTCCCGAATAAAAATGATAATCCTATGATTTAGATAAGAACAAGACCACTTAATTTCGTCCTCAAAACAGCGCTCTGAACTGTATACGAAATACTAATTCATGTTCTACGGTCTACTGATTTTGAGAAAAGAAATTTCATTTGCCAAATTGATGTCAATAGCCAGAATTTGAACTGCATGCACTTTGAACTGTATAGTGCTCCATGGTCTACTGATTTCGTAACAACAGTCTAGTAAAGTACGATTTCGAAAATGGAGCCCGATGAGAGCGATATGGGTGTAGGCCTAGGCAGTACTCAAAAAACGTGTAGTAGTGTTGAGCTTCCTCCAAAAAAGAAGCTAAAACACACGCAAATCCAAGTTAATAGCGGAAAGTATCCAGTCAGTGGCCCTGTCAGTTTGAAATCAAAACTACTGTAGGTAATGCCTACAGTACGTTCGTTGTGATTGTTGCGGTATTGATTTTCTTGCCTAGGCCTAGAGCCAAGTCTTGCACTGCGGTATTGCTGATTGTGAGTCAAAATGGTTACATTTTACAATCCGATCACATTGGTACCATGTCTTAGGAATACTCCTCTCACATTGGCAAAACTTAGCTCAGGAGTTTTTCAGACTCCTCTTGTTGGCCTTGTAGGGTTGGCATGTCTGGCTCCTTCAATAGAGAAAACTAATGAACTGAATGGCACATTCCTATTGATGCCATGGTCTCTTGCTTGAACCGGATGGACACTCCAAAGTAGAAGTATATTTAGTGGCCTAACATGTTTCATATCCATCTCAGTCTGTTAGTTTTGTTAGTTCAATTAATACACTATACCCAACTAATCTCAACAGACTTGCATAGTTTATCATTTTGAATTTATAAGTTTTATAGATTTTTGTAGAAATCTGCTTAAAATTGAGAAGCATTTTTAGACTTTCTGGATTAAACATTGCATAAATGCCAGTGGTATTAGCATTACAATTGGTACATTTTATTAACATGAATATTTGATGTTATATTGCGTTTCTTCTTGTTTGCTGGATTAGGTTGTGCTCAACAGGTTTTGCAGAGAGGCCATCCAGCATGATGAATGGCAATTTAGAGCTTCACTTAGAAAAGTTGCCAAATAGAATCCAACTCAGCTCGCAATTTATGGTAGAGATGCTAACGGCAGTCTATTTTTGTATGTACGTATAAAATGAATGCTGTATACCCTGAAAGTTATTTTGAATTAACAGTACTTAAATTACTTTATTAGTTGTCATTTCAATATATTCAAAATATGCAATGGAAATAAGTGTTAACATTTCTGTGTTATCATTGGAATTCTGTTTTATTGTGTTGTATTGTATTGTTTTTATGAGATCCTAAACAAAGTCAATCAATCAATTAAAGAAATTGAATGAATGTGTTAACATTCTGTTTGCGTCTGCTTTTCAGGTTTAATGGTTTTTCAGATCTTGGCAAAACTGCGCTGGAAGATGCATATGTTAGGGCAACCTACGAACTTTACTCTGATGTGATGTTGGTTAGTGCTCTCATAATTTTGGTATTTTCTCATACCTGTTTTCCAGGTCTGAGGGACAATCCTAAGCATTTTTAAATTATTCAAAACTCAACCCAGATGATGATAATTATGAACTTGCAATATGTGTTTATAAAATATGTAGCAACAGAACTACACAATTTTATTTATACTGATGAAGCATGCAAGACCAGAATTACAGTTATGCTGATGAAACATAAGAATAGGCAAAATATTTGTTTTGAAAATAAAAAGTTTTTACGGTCAACATCTTATCCTCAATTTCAATTTATTTGTAAAAATTAATACTGCAACTAGATATAGGATCAGTATTTGTTATGTTTTTTGAATCTATAACATTGTAATTAGAATACAATATTAATAAATTCAAACCTTGTATAATATTGAAAGGACATTAACTAATAGATAAGGGTAATAGTGAAAATATGAGTAATAATATGACTATGAAAGAACTTACCATAATACAGTATACCTTTTTAGAGTGTCAATCAAACTTAACAACTGACCAATAAACAGGGCCAGGAATACGCTTGCCTAACAAGCGCACGTGTTGTCCCACAAATACATGTGGTTACATATTTTTTAACACTGTCATTTTTTTGGACCTTACAGGCATGAGGGAATTTCATATTTTTTCGCTTGTCCCTGGACAAGCACCTTTGGAAAATGCACTTGTCCTGAAGACAAGGTTACTTGTCCCAATATTATTGCACAATAAGCATAAAAAATAACACAAAAATAAAGTACTTTTGCTATGGCCCTACAGCATTAATACTAGGCCTACAATCATACTGCATGGATTACGCAAAAATGTTTTTTTTTTGTTTTTTTTTTTAAATTTGCAAGAATTTCAATAATGGAGAAATAATAATAGGGAGAAATTCAAATAAAATAAACATTAATAATATTCTATGTATGTATGAGTGTGTTGATTGTTTTTTTATTGCATGTTTAAAAGCAATCGTCATGACAACTGCAAGTAAAAATCTCTCAGGCATGGTTGATTCCCACGATACACGAGTTCTCAGCCACACGCTGACAGGACTGTGTTTTATGACGTTATTTGGCGGGGGTTGTGGCCATATCGTATGTTTGTACCTGTTTGTAGATCTTAATCAATTCTAATACTAACTTCAAATACTTTTTTTTTTTTTGAGGAGTATACAAAAAAAACTAATTCAAATTGCACAGGAAACCTCTAGAAAAATAGATGCACAGAATCATAAATAGGCCTTACTTGTGTTTCTACTATCAAGGCCTCAATTTTCTGTAAAATATCCATGGAAATCAGCTCACATTTTGAAATGTGGCGACAGATTTCAGGGCCTAATATTTTATGCGGGGAATATCTTAAAGCCTGACACATCCCCATTTAATTTATTTTCATCTATTGAAAAATAAATAAAATTCCTTACCTCTCAACAAAAGACAAGCACTGTAGGTCTATATAACTCTGAGCATGGGCCGAGGAAACGAATCCTTTCTAGAGAACCTCCGAGATGACGAAATTTGAGACAGGAAAATGATTCATTTATAGGCCCTAAACCCTCCAGGTTTACAAGATTTTATATGCACATTATCTCCGTCACTTAGAAGTGAATGACTTTTTAGCTACGTTTAACAACTTTAAATCCCAACTTAAACCCTTTCTTAGTCTGTCTAGAATGCCTTCCCCAGACGCGCAAATGAAATAGACTAGGCATTTTTTGAAGTCGGCCTAATGGCTGCTGTTCATATTTGTACTCGAAAGTAATTGTCATTTCATGTCGTCCAATTCAACTAATCCACTAATGGCTGTGTGCCCAAAGTCTTAAAATAAGTCTGGTATTTATAGACTAGACCAGTGCGAATTTATATTGTAAACAGACCATGTGCAGCAGGCCCAGACAGCTGTAATGAGGACGATATCGTGCGAAAAATATGTACCTGCAGTAGGTCTAATTTGTACACCTGACAGAAATCTGGCTAACATTTAACAATTCATTTTCAATCTTTACTGCAGAAAATAACAAATTTTATATTGAGTAGGCCTACATATTTTATTTTAAACCGTCAATAAATCACGGGAGTGTTGGTGACTAAGTTCATACACATAGTGCGGTGCGAAACCACCATGGCATGGTTGGTCTGTTTGATATTTCATTGTGTGCCGACAATTTGTAAATAAAATATGCTGCGTATTCTCAAGAGTTGGATTTTTTATAAGTACTTTGAAGGCATTACACATTACATGGTGAAGTAGCATATCCTAAAAGTGTTTTTCTACTTACAAGTGGTCCTACCTGTCCCATGCGTCGTAGCAACAAAATCCAGGGGCTGGGTTTAGTGGAAATGCCCATGTTGGTAGCTGGACAATGCTCTGCTTCATTTTGACATGTCAGACTAACAAAGTAGAATGTAGAATTGCATAATTATTTTCATCTCTTTTGTCCATGTACCATGTCCCTGCCACTGGGGAGTCCCTTGTTTGGTGGATCGTGTGTGGATTGTTCTATTTTGTAGAATGTATACAACACTTTGATTGCAGTTTCAATGTGGTCTTCATCAGAAGAGACCTGAGGTGTTACTGAATCAGCTATTAGTATGCTTGAACTTGTAAAATTATAGTTTATGTAATTGATTGTATAATTAATTGTTTGTATTTCATATTCTTTTACATTCTTAGATGGCAAACGCTATCAAAAACTCATTGGCGTCGAACCCTTCAGGGCAACCAGGTGATGGACCAATCGGAATTAATGTAACTGTGAATCCTGTGTCACCTAAGGTTAGGCGGACTGCTATTACTAATGCATCCTTCAAGGCTAGTCGAAAGAAAGGTAAGATTTTCATTTTTTTGCTCATGTGAGACTAAGCTAATTTTTTTAATAAAGAAAGAACCATAGAGCTTTTTAAGAGGTTTCTTGCTCAAGATGTCAGACCAAAGACTGCACATTTTACTTTCATAACCCAATTCAAAATTTGCTCTAAAAAAGTTAAAAATCTTAGTTTTGAATACACACAATACCACCACCTTAATATGATACTGGTTTGGGCAATACGAACTGAGTAGCACTCCTGGGCGACTGTTGCATCCAATTTGTAAGAAAAGATATTCAACCAGGCATCTCTGTGAGTCAGCACTCTATTATAATAATTGTTTGGCAAATTATGAATTCATAGTATAAAATTAATCTGATTCAGATATACTAACAAACATTTTTAAAGGGTCGTGGGTAGTCGCACTGCTGGTAAATGACAATTAAGTTATGTAAAACAGCAGCAGAAGACAAATCCATTTCTTCTTTGTGCAAGTACTTGACAATGTGGCACCATCAAATTGTCAGTGGCAGCCTAAGCGATTGATTGTCATTAAAAATGATCATCATCCTGTGGTCATGTAATTGAGCACAGGAATATAAATTTACCTTGTTGAAGATGCTTACCAATGCCAATGTCATGAGTTTAAATCCTGCAACTACTTATGTCAAATTACGCATGTATATTGCATCTCAATAAATGTTGGTATTTTTCTCTTTAGCCAAGCCTGTCTCAGATGGTAGGTGAATTTGCAGTTTGTTGGCTCATTTTATGTGTTGCTATCCCTTCGCTCATTTGTTAGGCCTACCAAAAATTTGTCAGGATCTTGCATCTTTGATCCCTGCTAGAAATACTGTTATTCATGTCTGTCAACATAACCTTAGTAAATTGGTTGTTATTATATATGCAACTTGTGTCAGTATTATGTCTGTCAATGGTCATTCTTGTTTGTTACATACAAAGAACATTTTAGTTGTATGGGCCTTCATACCTGGAATAGTTGCCTTCTATTCCCAATATTTGTCATACTCAATGAATTTAATATAAAATGAACTGTAGCTTGGAAGTACTACAAGGTACTGGTAACATCTCCAGGACTTTTTCCGACAATAAAATACAATAGCATTGGTGTACAGGGTTGGTGGTTGCCAGGGTTTAAGTTGGCCAAAAAAATATTTAACAATTTGGCTAATGTTGTCTGAAAATAGCCAAATAGAAATTTGATTAGCCAAAATGAAAGAATATAAGCAATCACAGGTCCAATTCCATTAGATTTTGGCTAATTTTGAATGAAAATATTTAGCAAAATACAGCTTTTATTAGGATTTGGCTATTTGGTTAAACACTGGGTTGGGTTGCTCCTCTTCCATTCACATGGTCATAGGTTTAATCATACCAAAATAAAATGTCAGGATTTTATCACAAGCAAACACATCTCCAGTTCACAGGTCTGTGTTAAGTTTAATATCAAGGGTACAAGGTGGGATGAATAAATATTGTGTAAAGCCTCAGCCAAATAATATACAATATTTTACCAGAATGTGGTTGCTTTTGAATTATTAATGGTGCCTTTTTGATGTTTTAAATGTTGTCATTTCTATGTATGATTTTTTTGGTTACTAGAATTGATGTCATTGTAGGCACATAATCTTAATAAAATAGAATTACAATATTTTTATGATACAGTATATGTGTTGTTCAGTTCAATTAAATTGGTCATACAGGTACTAGAAATTATATTCCTAACATGACTGTAATTCACGCATACACTATATCATATCAAATAACATTGGTTTTATATTCATCAAATGAGTCGTTCTGTTTGCTAATTATTTTCCTTTATCCACATTTCGGTATTTTTGTTTAGTAATAGTAGTCGAGTGTGTTGAATGCAGTTAATAAGTATTTTTATAATCCCAGTTTTGTTAAAAACCAATAACCAATTGAAGTACTGATGATATGTAATTTTTGCTTTGTTTATATTTTGGATGTTTCTGTTTAGCAAATAATAATTTTAAAAAAAGAAAGAAAGAAGAAAAAAACCAAATTGATGAATTGTATATGCATGGTTGTTTATGTATCCAATTTAATTGGATACATAAACAACCATGTATATACAATTCATCAATCGGTTATTTTTTTTTTTCTTTCTGTAATACAGTCTCTTTGTAACCCATTTACCACTGACCGTAATATATACTAATGAAATTAACACCGGAGCATGTTTTAAAAGTGTGTAAATAGACAATATTACAAAGTATAGATAAGATAATCAAACCTTAGAAACAAGACTTGCAGGATATATAATTAATTTTGTATTTTCCATTACAGAAACAACTGTGACAGTTACAGTGGAGAGCGTGCGCATTTCTCAGAGCATCATGGATGAACTGGAAGGGTCGAGTCATTCAGACGCTGAACAACCAAAGCAGGTAGATAGCAAGGTCGAGGTTCAAATCATTGACCAGTCTGGCAACCAAACTGTTGATTATATTCAATTACCAAATCAAATCAAATCAAATTTATCTTCCAAATTAAATAATTCTGAGAAAAATGATTCAAAAGGAAGTGTAGATAAGTCAACCTCTAGCTTGAATTCTGATGGTAGTGATGGTAAACCACGACTGTCACCGGCTAGTCATTCACGAGAACTACCCCTCAAGGATTCAAGAAACTTGCAGGATCATGAGACAGCTTTGTGAACCATTATAAAAATAGTATTTAATAATAAATATGCATCTTTTATCAGCAGATTGCGCTTGAAGTTTCAATACAGGCAAATCTTCCATTTTTATTTAAAACAACTGATTTTCAGTAACTGCAAAATTCTATGATAAATTTATTATTTACTGCATAAAAAAGTAGTATAGTAGTAAATAATTAATATAATATAAATTATAAAATGCATATTTTTACTTTGTGTCTATTACAAATGTTGTAATTGTTATGGACCTTTACATTAAGCCCCGCCCCCTGGATGTTAGTCCACAAAAGAAGCGTAATGTGTATAAACGCATGTGTTGGTGGTACATGTGTGTTTTTATGACAAGCACATATTCTTTGCAATATTTTGATTGGTCAGTTAAGGCTGATTGATACTCAAAAATGTTCATTATGAATCTGTTAATAAGGCAATGTTATTTTTTTTTGTAAATGTTGCTAGACAAATTGAGGTCACAATTCACTTCTAGCAGCCAATGGCATGTCAGTAAATTGACATGCCAGTCAGCTGCATCCTGTAAAATTTTTTTATCAAGAAGTAGAATGACTATGTATAACCCCTAGAATGCTTTGTGGACATGTGGTGCTGCCTGTTATATCGTGCTATAGAATCTATTAATATTGGCAATTATTATTCCCTGGTTTGGAGATCTGTTCATTTTCGGGGAGTGTTTTAGGAAACAATGGCAATAGTCAGTTTTTTTATATCCAGTAACTTGGTATGTTGCAAAATTTAAAGTGAACCAAAATCTAATGTAATATCTTGTTTCTTTTACACCATGTGTAATGATATAGTATACAAATATTGACTGCTGTGATATGGGCCAAAGCCCCGAGGGAACATAAGCTACAGGCTCGACATCATCGAGGGGCTATAGATTTCACCATTCCCCAAATCTAGAGCAGTCAATATTTGTTTTATATACCTCATATGTAGATTCTACAAGACCTAAACAAGTAATGAAAATAATACACACCAAGTAGGGCTAGGCTTGCTTCCTAGGCCTCGACGATCGAAGGACCAATCTCTGTCAGCATCGTAGAGGTCACATCTCCGTTCGTGAATACATAAATACATAGCAACATGGCCTAGAGATTGCACATCGTGCAGCAGGGAAAAAAGTACTATCCCATAGGGGAATAGTACTTTCTATTGCCCTCTTCTTAACCAAAAAAATGCTTAGAATCTATGTATGCGGTACATAATAGTGAATATACATAAAATATGAAAACAATGTTAGCTATCATATGATACAATTTTTCTTCTGTTTCCCCTAATAGCAATTAAATTTATATTTGCTGAAGTGTTTATTTAAAGCATTGAATATAACCAGAGAACTCATTATTAAATTATGTTTTCATGTGCAATGTAACAGTTTATTGTAATCAATAATGATATTATATAAATTTATTATATTTGCTAATTGTATAAATTCAATTGAATATTATGTTGATAGCTATAATGCTTATCAGAATAGCTCCAATGCTCAGACTATGCATTATTTTGAAACAAAATTTGTGATAGTCAAACGTTAGTGACACTACATTTCTATTGGGTCTTAATGCACAATTCCTCACAAATAATTAACTAGTAAACCAAAGCCAAGTTGAATAGAAGAATAAATAATGGAATGGAAAATAAAACAGCAATAAAAAGACAACTTAGGAAGCATAGCATACAAAGTTACTGATGATGTAATTCAAGGGTTTGTTTTTCAGTGCAACATTTCACTTACTATTTAAAAGTGCTTGGTATGAATAAAGTACTATACCTTATTTATTGCTCTTTCTTTGTATTACAGCTATACTTCATCTCACTCATATATTGAAGATGTCCCCATGTCAGCAAAAAACTTTGTCTTGTAAAAATATCAGTTAAAAAAATTGTCTGCATAACAGGAAGCTTTTTGTTCCGCAGCAGTCATTAGAGTAAACACGATGACTGACTGGTGGATTGCATATTCCCCTATGAATATTCCAAACCATTTACAGTAGGTCAAAACATTAAAATTTGTATAATGTTATCAATACTTTAGCCAATGGTCAATGTAATGGTGCATGCAAATTGGAGGTTTATTCTGAGATTAGTTGGATTTTTTGCTCTAATCATTTTAATATCGATTTTTGTTTGTATATATCTAGAAATTGGATATTCTCCCTAATTCTGAAAGTGATGTATAAATAGTGAGTATGGTAAATGTTGGACTCATTGTACTGTATTCTTGCAGTAGGGATTTGGATGTTTTTATCATTTACTTCTTTGCATTATATTTAACCATCATTAAATTTTGTGTTTTGAAAATGTCTTCAGCATTGTACCATGTAGTTACTTTTGTAGTCTAGGTTTCGTTTATGTGTGTGATAACCAGTGGTGGCTCCAGAAATTTTACCGACAAGGGAAATTCAAGCCTCAGTCAGAGTCATGGAATAAAATTCCTTATGGAGTTCATGTGGAGGTATTTAAGCATGGCCTATAATTGTGCTGTATTATTAATGTGTTGGAAATCACAATAATTTTGTTGGAATTCTGTGCCTATGTGACGTTGGGTGGGGTGGGGAGGCAATTCTCCCAGATCCCCACTGGTGCCACCACTGATGATAACACAATTCATGGATACTCTGCATCGTTGGGTTCTTCAGTTTGATTGTTTAAATAACATTTTTGGTTGCAGGGGTGTTGTTTTTGTACCAGTTCATGTTTGTAGTAAATATTACAATTGTTTATTGTATTACATTGCTTATGTGATGCTTATTGTTGTTTAAATTAATCACTCAAATTTCTAAAACAGTTAACGCTTCCGTTATTGATGGGCTACAAATGTGTCTGTAATCAGTAAAATAGACCTATCATTATGACTAGCCCTGACAAAAACCAGCTGATTAAGTCACACCGTTTAGAACACAGAGGCCCGTATGATATTACGTATCTAAGACCACTCTCTCTCCCTTCATAAAACTTCACACACAGTAGAGCTTGATTCAGTGACCGGGTGTAATAGTATAAAGCGCATAGAGGTCTCTACAATATGCCCTATATAAGTCGACAATTATTATTATTGGTGATCCGCTAACGTTAGCGGATCACCTCTTGTTATTGTCAGAATCTTTCTTTCTTTCTTTCTTTTTATTCTTTCTTTGTGTCAAATTTTGTGACCACGATATCTCAAGATTGCTTCAACCGATCAAAATGATATTTTCAACAATCATTAGTCTTAGGGTGGAATCGATACAATAAGCTTTTCAGCATGATCAGTCACGCGTGACTTCATCTACGCGCAATTTTGCGTTTTACGTAGCAAATTTTTTGATTGATCATAACTTCACCATCGTTAGGCCTCTTTTGTTGAAACTTCACACAGGTATACTTCATGTCNNNCGTACTATCCATATGCACAGTACTGTCCGAATTGCAGTTCATTACGCGCACGTACGCGTGCGCTAAAAATTAAATTTGCTCAAAATCACGTTTTGACTAAATTTGTGTACGTTTCAGGTGATTTTGACCATTTCAACTTTTTCACAAATTAACAGGTCGCGCGCGCATTTTCGCGCGCGCAGCTTGTGCAGATGATTCAAATTTTTGACATATTTTGAATTTCTTACACTGTAATGACATATTTGCTTTTTTTTCAATAATTTTACGTCTAATAATCGTGCAGTACGCGCACATCTAAGATACGTGTGTATTTGCGCGTTTTTGTCTATTTTCAGTCAAAATGAGTCAAAATTGTACCTATTTTTAATCAGTTATAGTTCCTCAGGATGAAAGGTGACCCCCAATTTTTATTACATATTCTGAAAGCACATGA